CCATCTGTGGGTTGCGACCTCTTTGGCGGTAGAACGACCCTTTCACAGGGGTCACCTAAGACCACCCTGCATACAGATGTTTACATTACAATTCTTAACAGTAGCAACATTACAGTTATGAAGTAGCAACGAAAATAATTTTATGGTTGGGTCACAAGATGAGGAACTGTATTTAAAGGGCCAGAAGGTTGAGAACCACTGATATAGAGGTATAGAGGGTATATACCTCTTTCTCTTCCCCTCCCCTTCTCTTCCTCTCCACCTACCCCCCTTCTTGAATTTAAAAAATAAAAAGTCAATTTATACCCTAAGTAAAGGGGGTTAATAGTTGGTGTTATAGGCTGAATTGTGTCTCCTCCAAATTTCAAATGTTTAAGTCCTAACTCCCAGGACCTCAGAATTTAGAGACTGGGCCCCGTGAGAACACAGGGAGAAGCCTGCCACCTGCAAGCCAAGGAGAGGAATCTCAGAAGCAGCCTGTCCTATGGACACTTGGCCTTGGGCATGTACCCTGCAGATTTATGTTCTTTAAGCCACCCCGTCTGCGGTGCTTTGTCCTAGCAGCTGATACAGCTGGGGAGGAGGCAGATATGAGGCCTAGGTAAAAAAAATAACAATAAAAATAATTAATTAATTAATTATAAAAATAGGCCATGATTAAAGGGAGAAGTGATATCCGGGTCAATGATCCATGTTCTGAGAAAAGGGTTTGCAGTCTGTAGCGAGGGCTGGATTGCCCGGAAAGCATGTGGCTTTTGCAGGCAGCAGCCCATGTGCACAGCCCCCAGCAGAGCAGGTGTGTGTCCTGGACAGCGATGCTGGTCCTATGACCTTGGTCTCAGAGTCCAATCACCAGGCCAGAAGCCGGAGCTGGGCCCTGACTGGGTGCTGCCTGGGGCATCTGTGGGCTCATCCACTGAGCGGCCAGTGTCTGGACAGGAGCAGCAACAGGGGGCATAAAGCAATGCAAGGCCATTTCTCACTCCACTGGACATTTGAAAGAGATCTGACCCCTTTCCACTGAATAAACCCTTGGACAAAGGTGCAGAGTGGATTTTTTTAATGGAATACTTAAATGTTCTATTAATTGGGGGAGGGAGGTAAGGTAGCTAAACTTGTGCCCTAAGTTTTTGGAGCAAACCCTGCCTTATAAGTGCATATGACAGTAGGGTTCTGCTGTTTTATAAAAAGTTAGCTAGGCTTCTTTTCCCCTCTTTTCTCTCATGAGCAGGAGAGATTATGCTAGAATTCCTGAAATGTGGAAAATAACAGGAGCTGGGATGGTTTAAACAAGAATCGACAGCTTTCTTCTTTGTGGCAATTCTTTCTTTTTCTCTTAACACATCTCTCCAATAATAACTGTTTGAGCATTTACCAATAGTCAACATTTATTGAATGTTTACTATGTGAAAGGCATTGCACTAGGCATTTTACATGCAGGATAGAAGTATTAAAATTATCTTTATTTTACAGATAAGGAAACAAAGATAGGATGAGGTTAAGTAACTTATGCAAGATTAATTCACTTGCCCAAGTTCAAGTATCTAACTAGTCAAAGTCAGACACAGAATTCAAACCCAGTTAGTCCAGTTCTACCACCTGCTGGAACTATTAGAAGACTCTGGGGCTGTCCCTGTAGAAAGATGGATTAACTATGGCTAGATTGTGGGTGTTCTTTTCAAGTTGCTGAAAGCTAGGTCTGGAGAGAACATAGTTAAAGAAATGACTACATTAACTACATACATAAAAATAACTACTTAATTAGGCATTAATCCTGCTTTCTGTACCCCATCACAGCAGGGAAAGCAAAAGTTAAAATATCATTCCAGAAGACTTTGACATAATGGATTTAATCCCCTCCAAAAATAGTTCAGTTCTTCTCTAGCAAGGTTCTCATATATCAAAAGGACAAGCTGTATGAATAGCTGACTTTATTTCTTCTAATTGTCTGAAATGTAGATACTGCCTGCTTAGTTACCCATGGGTTTGCAGTCAGAGCCTGTGTCACCTAAAGCACGGTCATGGTCTCGGGCCCTGTCCTCATCTATGAGACAGGCCTTTCAGGTGGATGATTTCCCAGGGCCACTTCTCACTCTGTGAGTTGAATTCTCACTACACATGAGGCCCCCGTAGGGAAGTGTAAGTCACATCACTTCTTTTCTGGTGAAAGCATGCGAATTCAAGGCAGCTTCTATTTTGCTTACTTTGATATTTCCCCTGGGGAATAAACAGTAACAGCACTCTCTCTCCCTCCATCCCTCCCTTCTTCTCTTCCTCCCTTCCTTTTTAAATAAACTTTTTATTTAAAAAAACACACAAAGAGTAACAGATAATGCTGTTTCTTGGCTTTATGATTCATTATGGAGACCACACACCTGACTTTTTCCAAAAGAGCCTTTTCAAGACTCTCTGAGAGGCTTACAGTTTGGAGTACGTCTCAGGAGGAGTCATTTTTGGACAAAGTTTTGAAATTCCAGGGCATGGTAAGTAATGTGGCTGTCTTTAAAACCTAAAAAAAATATGTAATAATTGAAATGCATTTAGCATGCTCAATGTATTTACTACATTTTTGTGTATTCCAACT